CTTAACTCTGGGAAGAATAAGAAAGCAGTCATGGTTAGAGGGGTGTCAGAGAGAGGGGGTGTTCTATCATATCAAGCCATCTTAACTCTGGGAAGAATAAGAAAGCAGTCATGTTTAGAAGGGTGTAAGAGAGAGGGGGTGTTCTATCATATCAAGCCATCTTAACCCAAGTACACACAAATTACACTAAACAGCAATTTTAAATCCAAAATAAAACTTCAGGAAACCTGGCTGCTGACACAGGCAGGCTATGTGGCCTGACCACTAATGGTGGACAGTTGCAATGTTTCGAGACATGATTGTGGGGGAAAATGGAATTGAAAGATAATGGCATTTCCCCACAAACTTTTTAAAGTCCCCTCGTATGTCACAAAGCAAATGCCATACTATTAAGTGCTTTTCCAGCGGGGTGACACAGGTTCCATTCTTTCCCAAGGTCACACAAAAGTTTACCTTGGCAAGGTGGGTAGCACCTGACCATCCGACTGACTTTCCCTAAACTAGAATCATGCTATTCTGACCCTACCTCTGGAAACTGCAATGTGACTGGATGACTCAAACCTCTCTCAAAAGGATACAACATCTTAATAGTGATCAAATAGTTTTCATTTTAAAAAGTAGTAATATTAAAGAATCTGGGGGACACCTAGGACTATTAGACTATTTCTATTTTTATTTAAATGTAAGTGACTTAAAAGAAATTCGGGAAGGGCTGGGCTCCTCACTGAGATGTATATAAAGTCATGCTCTCATGAAGCTTGGTCTGAGACATACTACTTCAGAAACCAAAGAGCATACAAAACCAACACTGCCACATAACAAATGTGAAGTACAAACATTATATCAAATTAATGTGTACTGGATGATCATGGAAGAAGAGTCCTGGGAAATAAAAACCAAAAGGATTTGGGTAAGATGAAAATAAGCATGGAAGCAAAATAAACTGCGGGATTAATCAGTTAACAATCCCTAGTAGAGTCCAGCTCCTGCTAAGGAGTCGTTGGTGCTAAATCTGGATACACAGGATCAGACAATGGAAGGATGGTTACGGACTGCTTTCAGGGTTGTTATGACACCATGCAATCCATGGCTAGTAAAAGGTTTACTATAAAACTCCCAATTATCTGGTCAATTTCCATTCAGTTGAAAACAATGTATTACAATGTAAAACAGCTCATCTCACTTTTCCCTAGAAAGCATTTACAATCACTAAGCAATTTTACTGGAATGGAAAGTAATCACTCGGTTCAAGATTACCCTGCAAGTGAAGGGGAAGACATTCCTTGGAAACTTGGTGAAAGGAAAGAAATAAGGAAATCACAAAATTTGGTGAAAAGAAAGAAATAAGGAAATCACAAAAGCAGAAGGAAGCCACAGCAATTCCCTTCAGCTGCAAAGGGTACCACTAATAAAGGAAAAGGCCCGCCGCTGCATAAAGAGGGCTCTCTTGAAGATACATCGTCAAAAACTCAAACTCACTGCCATCTTCTATGGACCCTATAGGGTAGGCCAGAACTGCCCCCAGGGGTTCCGAGACTGTTAATCTTTATGGGAGTAGAAAGTTAAACCTCAGGGTTAGTAGCCCAACACATGCACAATCCACTATGCAACACGAAATCCTCACATCTCAATTGTTATCCCTAAACCAGGAGTGTAAGGCATCAGCAAAAAACAAAGGCATCTATTTTCTTAGATAAACTTTTCTATTGATAGAACTTCTCAAATAACCACCACAAGCAGAAAGAAACACCCAACTTATATCCTTAAGGCAGCATCTGCAAAACAAGGGGAAAGCACCTTTAATTCCAGAGATACAGGAAAAAAGGGGGAAGATATGAATCAATAGCTAAACAAATCAGGGAAGAGCATGAAGGGAAAAGCAAGACAGACTACAAGACACCCAAAGAAGAATGTATGTGATGGGAAATCTAAAGGCATTACAGAAAGGAATGAAAAGAGCCAAACAAACAAAAACAAGCTATTAAAACAAAAAAAAACAAAAAACGCAGTGGTACATAAAGATGATTGGCAAAGAATATCTAATGTATCTATCAATGGGAGCCCTACAGAAAAAAATACAAAACAAAACCAACAGAAAAGGTCAAACCTAAAACAAAAAAAGAAAAAGAAAGTTCTGTAGTCTCCAAGCAAAAAGGTCAAGTCATTCATGAAATTAGCTTACCATCAAAAATTTTAGTAGATCTTGGGTAAAAGGTAAAGAATTTTTATGCAACCTAGCTGTCCTTCAAGTAGCAAGACCATGAGAAGCAAAGTTTAAAATGTGGGAATACTATACTCACTAGCCTTTCCAGAGGCATTTACTGGAGATAAGCTTCATCCGAGCAAGATAAGACCGGAAAAACTTTGGTTAAAGAAACAAAACAAAAAATGTTAGTACAAATAGAATTGTAGATCTATGTGAACAAAGCAAAAGATATTAATATTGAGTGTTAAAGCAAAGTAGAAACAATGCAATTTTTAAAAAGGTAGCAGGGAGAGGGGAAAGAACAATTTCATTGTCTTTTATAAAAACTGGTAGAACCATGGAGGTGTTGAATTGGAGAATCTTTTGTGGTGTGTATTTTTGCCACAATTGAAAACAAACACATGAATAAAAATGAGTATGGGGGAAAACAATACATTCTAAAATTAATTGTGGTGGGGATTATACAATACTTCTTAACATGGTTGAACTGTTAAATTGTATGATATGTGGATGAAGAATAAAGTTATTAAATAAAAAGGAAAAACAAAGACAGGATTAAGTGCATTTGGATTTCAGAATAGCAGGAACTACTAGAAGAGAAATACAGCCCTGAACAAAAGCAAACAGAAAAATTTTAAACAAAGAAATATATCACGCAAAGACAGGAATATAATAATGTAAAAAGTAAGCATGGCGTTCTGAAAGGTTGGAGCTTGTCTAGAAGAAAGGCCTGATTTGCTTCACACCTTAGCCATTGAAAATCCAAAGGAGTACAGTTCTACAATGACGCTTGCCATTTCCATAAGTTTCAACAGGGATTTGAATTGAGTCACATAAAAACATGTGAAAGGGCTTGCCTTTCAAAGAAATGATTTTCAGGTTGGTTCACAAAGCAGGTCTAATCAATACTGTAAATAAGACACCTGACAACAAAGTAATTCAGAAAGGTTAATAACAAGGGATGCTTATTATCTCCCTTAAAATAAACTGGGTATAGGAGGTAATACGCAGCAAAGTAATTGCACAAAACGAGATACAAGAATTGAAAGAGTAAATCGAACTGTATTTGCAGATGATACAATAGTATACCTAAGAAGCCAAGAGACTCAATAATAAAATGTCTTCAATTCGCTTTAAAGCTACCATGTAAAGGAGTGCTGGTGTCCCTGATAAATAACCATTGACTTGCTAACACCTCAAACCCAGCAGCCACTCCCTTGGCTATCTGCTCCCCTCAAGATTTACAGCCTCGGATTCTCTATAAAGAGTTCTTCAGAACCAGAAAGGGCCTGGTGGCACAATAGTTTATGCCCTTTGCAGCTATCAGGAGCTCCATGGGAGAAAGATGATGCTTTCTGCTCCCACAAAGACTTAGTCTTGGAAACCACAGAGGCTGTCCTTCCCATCCCTTAGGGTTGCTAGGAACTAGAATTGACTTGATGGCAGCGAGTTTGGTTTAGAGTCACTCAAATGACGTGACTTTCCTTTTAATTGCAAGTCGGTCCCTTTTTCCTTAGTTCACACTCACCTATTGCTCTAGCATACATCATTTCTCTCTTTAAATTTCCAAAACTTTCCCCCACACCTTTGCTCCTAGTGGATGATGCTTATTATTTCATTGAGAACCAGCAGCAGCAACCAGAGAACTTTCCCAACTCTACATACACATACTGCCATCCACAACATCTCATTTACCTGACACCACTGTTACCAAATTTCTCGGCCATCACCAACTAATTATACATTTGTCTCCATTATCACCAAATTTCTGTCCTTATTGGTTTTTTCCTATCAGCCTACAAACATATTTCTCCTACCTTACAAATACAGAGCCCATCTTTCTAACTATGGGCAATTTCTTCTTTTTACAGTAAAACTCCTAAACACATTTGTTTTAAATATCCTGAATTTCTCCTCTCCCACTATCAAACTCACTTCAATCATGATTTCCCCCCACCATTCCGTACCCTAGATTGAACTGTGATCTTCCTCCACGTGTAGTCTTGCTCCGCTCAGTAAACTTCCAACCAAAGGCAATCTCATCCTTTCAACTGTTGGCGTCAGCTTTAAAATATAGCTTTGACTTTCTTCTCTCTCTAATCTACACATCAGATTTATCTGCAAAACCCGTCGCTTCTGGTTTCACGACATAGCCAGGATCCAAACATTTTGCACTAACTCCAGAACCTGCCCACTCTCTTCCCCCTAAAAAAATAAATTCACTGCCGTCGAATGGGTGCCGACTCATAGCGACCCTTAAGGACAAGGGGGAACAGCCCCCTTTGAGTTTTCGAGACTCTGTACGGAAGTACAACGTTCCATCTTTCTTCCACAGAGCGGCTAGTGATTTCGAACTGCTAGCAGAAGCGGGCAAATTAAGGAAGTTTCTCCCTGGCCACGGTGGACCCTTGGCTCAAAGCCACAAGGGCGCCCCTCGCAGAGGAAGTGTACAGGAAGGAGACTGGGGCAGGATACGGAGCACGCGGGCCCGGCCCCGCACAGCGCAGGCAGGCGAGGCGCCACACGCAGCCGGCGAAAGCGCCGGCCCCGAAGGGCGTTCACGACGCGCACAGGGGCCAGGAGAGGCGGCGCCGGCCGGGACCTCACCTGGCCTGTTCCACGCCGGAACAGCACGGCGTCTTCCCGCTCCGGGACGCCGCCGCCGCCACCCATTGCCATGGCGAGTGCGCTGCAGGAACCACTCGGGGAGGCGCGGGCTCTTGTGAATGACGACTTCCGCTTCCCGGGGACTCTGGGAGCGGAAGAGCACGGTGGCCCGGAGGGTAGGGGGCGCACTGGAGGAGGGTGGGTCATTGTTCGTTCTTCCTATACCAGTCTCCGAATTTGGTTGCTTTGACTCTTCGCACTTCGTATTCCTCAATCTTTCGATTTCAGTCGACTCGACCAACATTCATTGGCAGGCTAAACTTTAAAATGTTTTAAATAGTGCTCATTACAGATTAAAAAAGTAGGGATCAACCCAAACTTGTAAGAGTAAGCAGCAAAAACAAAAAACAAAAAAAAACAACCCAGAAGTAACCGGTAATAAGATAATTACTATCCCTAAAGTACTTTTTAAAGGAGTTTTAACTTAATGTGTTTATGCTTTTCTTATTCCTTACAATAGTCTTATGAATTAGGGGCTATTTTCTTTTTTGCCTAATTCTTAAGTGATGAAATCATTTAGTGCTCACTACTTAACCCAAAGGTTGGCGGTTCAAATTTACAGAGGCATCGTGCAAGAAAAGCCCGATCCTCTTATTAAAGGGCAGACACAACCGCTGGGAACCTTAGGGAATGCAGTTCTCTGGTATGTGCAAGGTCTCCAGGAGTTGGGAATCAATTTAAGGGCAACTGGCTAATGGGTGTCCACGCAGGGAGAGCCATGTGACTTTGGCCAATATACCTCATGCTTAGTCCTCATCCATTACCTATCTGTCAGTGGAGGGTTATATGTTACTTTGATGCTGACCAGATTTCAGCTCAGCTTTCTGACTAGAAGAAAAGCCTGAGATAGGCAATCAAAAACAATGGACCAAACAGTCTGATCCCCAACCAATCACAGAGATAGGATAGGACAGTGTTTTTAGTTGTGCATGTGGTTGCCATCGATCTGGGGCCGTGGGAAACTGACACTGAGGGGAATATGACTAGGACTATTCCCTAACATCACAGAGGGAATCTGGAAAGCTAATATGCCACAGTAGGAAAGCCACCACTTTGGTAAGTTAGAGATAAAGTACAAGTACATTACTCTGCATTAAATATATTCCCACATGCTCCCCTAACAGCTATGCTGCCTTAAAGTGAGCACATAGTTGATTGTGTCTCCCTATAGAAGCATTCTTGTTATCTCCACCCGCTGTGGCATCCATTCCTCCTCCTACCTTCCCCCAATGCAGGTATTAGGTTTCCTCGCCTGTGAGCTCAGGGACTTTACTGTGGTTGCCACCTACCTTGTGACATATATAACTACTGACTATGCATATCGTTGGCTACCTGCAAATATCCCAAGACAGTGAAGATTCTCTTTCTCTGCGTGGACCTGGCTGCTGAGATAGATCATGGCCATCCTGGAAATGAGCATTCTACCCAAAAATGTGTCTGACTTCCTTATTTTACTCCTCTCCTGTCTCTCCTTTTCTCTGTGACTTGGCTGGAGTACTCTAACATGGGACAACTGACAACATTCCCATTTTAAGGATGATGGAACTAAGGCATAGAGCGTCTACACAGCTGCCTGAAGCCTAAGCAGCAAAGGTCATGAAAATATGTTCAACACCACTAGTCTTTGAAAAATGCAAATTAAAACAGTAACATCACAGCCACCTACCAAAAGGGCTACAGAGACTGATATACTTGGTTAAAGTGTGTAGTGATGATACTTTTATTATTGCTATTAAGAGTATAAAGCATCTCTTCTCCAGATTTCCCTTCTCTTGCCCCATGAATATGTTTTGGACTCCTAAATTCTATGACTGTAGATCTAATACTGTGTGGAAATTTGGACTCCTTTGTAATGTTAATGAGGCAATACAATTGTAGGTTGAGTTCCAAACCTGTAACTTCTGAATTATAATAAGAACAGATTAGTTATAAGTGAATTATATGTCAATCAGACAATAAGAAACAAAAACTTAAATAAAATAGTTATGTGTATTGCGGATGAGGAAGACAGATGTTGTATGAGGAGTGCAATAAACCCAGAACTCTGGCCTAATAACAAGGAATGTAACAGAGACTCTGATTTGGGTTTTTAGCTTCCTGAATTGTAAGGGGAAAAATTGTTCTTTAAAGGCATTTACTTGTATTTCTGTTACAGCAGCACTAGGAACTGGAAAACACAAAAAACAAATTCACTGCCACCAAGCGACCCAAAGGACAGGGTAGAACTGCTCCTTTGGGTTTCTGAGACTAACTTCACAGAAGTAGAAAGCCTCATCTTTTTCCCAAAGGAAATGAAAAAACAAAGCAAAAAAACAGTTGTCGAGTTGACAGTGATTCATGGCAACACCATGTTAGAGTAGAACTGTGCACCATAACATTTTCAATGGATAATTTCACAGAAGTAGGTCACCAAGCCTTTCTTCGATGTAGCTGCGTGTGGCTAAGTCTTTACCTTTTGGTTAGCAGTTGAGTATGTTAATATTTTGCATCGCCCTTCCACTTTTTCCCCCTATTGGAGTCTTACATATTGATAAATTAGAGCTTTTCAAGTTAAAGGAATTATACTATGAAACAAACAAACACCCAGGATACAAAAGAAAAAAATGCATGAAAAAGCACTACGTGGAAACCTTCAACTATATACTTTATACTTTTACATGTAGAAAAATTAATTAAAAGAGAATACATCAGGTCAGCTTTAGCTCCAGCGGTTACTTCGCATATGTTAAACAGAAGAGGATACATAAAAATCTAAGTAGATGATGGAGTTTGAAGTGTCTTTTTTCTTCTTGTAGTAAACAATCACATCCCCACCTCAAAATACATGGTTCCACTTTTCCCACCTGTGTCCAGAGCTCCTTTTCATCCCCAGTAAGTCTTGACCTGAGAGGAAAAAACCAGTTTTTCTCTTCCTCTCTTCATCTCTCAAGATCAGACTATAGATGTACCTGGCTAAGTAATTTCTGAATTAACAAGCATACTGTATTTTTATTGTGAAATTATTAAAGGTGCATGGGGAGTTGCAAAGGTAAGTACAAGCCCCCTGTCTCCTGCACCTGGTTTTCCACAATGGTGACATTTTCCCTAATTACAGTGCAATATTAAACCAGGAAACTTTCATTAGCATAGTATTTATATATCTTCTATTAACTATGACAGCAATGAAAATACAGAACCGTCAACACTCCACAGATCTCCCTAGGGCTACTTTGTAGTAGTGTCACTCCAACCCCCATCATTCCTAAAGTCTGTCAAAACACTACTCTTCAATTTTTCATCTATAGAATTTTGAGAAAATTATATATGAAGTAATACAGTATGTGAACTTTCAAGACAGTTCTCCTCATCCCAAGCATAATCCCTGTGAGATGTTGTATCAGTAGTTCTTTTATTGCTGAAGTTGCTCACCATGAACATGCACTGATAATTACTGGCAAGTGGGATGCACAAGTTGGAAACAGCAAAGAACAGTAGTTGGAAAATATGGTCTTGGTGATAGAAATGAAGCTGAGATAACATGATAGAATTTTACAAGACCGACTTCTTCAGGGCAAATACCTTTTTGAAACAACACAAAAGGCCACTACACACATGGACTTCTCCAGATGGAATACACTAAAGCCAACTGACTCGTTGTGGGAAGAAATGGGTAGGGGCCATCCCTAGAACAGACTATCCATTGTTCATAAGATGAAGAAAATTACAATAGCTCCAAAGAGCCAAAATGCAACCTTAAGGATATCCCACCCCAATTTCAATAACATCTCAAGAACAGATATGCTGCACTAAACACTAATGACAGTAGAGCGATGGGATAATCAAGAACATCATACGAGAAAGCACAAAGTCACCAAAAAGACAGGACAGGAAGAACAGATCAAAGTGGATTGTGAGAAGAGACACTCTTTTGAAACTTGCTCTTAATCATAGAGAAGCAAGGCAAATGGAAGAAATGATGAGATCAAAGAGCTGAATAAAATAACAAAATGTCAAAGACCTTTGAGCTAGACAACCAAAAATAAACACCTCATCATATCTTAAATTTAAAGAACTCAAGAAAAAATTCAAACCTTGATTATAATACTGAAAAATGGTCAAAATACTGAATGAGGCAGGTGGCAGATGGAAGGAATACAGTCACTGTACCAAAAAAAAACGAGTCAACATTCAACCACTTTTAAGAGGAAGCCTATGAGCAAGAACCAATGGTACTGAAGGAAGAAGTCCAACCTGCACTGAAAGCATTAGTGAAAAACAAGGATCCGGGGATTGATAAAATACCAATGGAAATACTTCACCAAGCTGATGATGCACTGGAAGCCCTCACTTGACTATGTCAGGAAATTTGGAAGACCGCTACTTGGCCAATTGGAAAAGATCCATAT